GCGTAAAGCTGACAACCTGACCGCCATCTGTGAGCCGACTGTGGAAGTATCGACGTCTCACAGCCCTATGTGTCTTCACGGCTCGTTACAGGGACAGTTATACCTTTCTTGTCAGACAAGTCACAATCACCAAGCTACTTGGCCCCAACGCCGACTATTCTCTCTTTGGTGTTTCGTGGTTTTCTCAGTACACTAAAGCCAATGCCGTGCCAGTACCATTTCCTTCTACATCCATTCAAATTCATCGTTCATTAATCGCTCTCTCTTTCGAAGCTACATAGTCTCGTATACTTACAGCGCGTTTAATAAATCATAAATTAATTAGATAAAAAAATTACCATCCTTTGGAGAAACACTTCTATTTTTTTACGTTTGTTAATTACAGAAGGCTGCAAATCTCTTGAATATAATTCCAAAATCAAATCATGAACGGCGGTAAACAAAAATACTGGGATGCTCTCTTCAGAGACCATTACATTGTGCGAAATTCGAAGTCCAACGATATCACGTTTGATGGCCTGCCTTCGTGACGTCATATATATATATATATGTCTGTTACAGCTGTAACAGTATCAATTAATGCCATATCTGTAATTAATTTGCGGAAATGTTTACATGAGTCTTGTATGCAAACTATTCTCCTTCGTGAGTAAACATTATAAGAGTATATGTCATTAATAGATTGCTTTTAGTTTCTTTCCACATAACTGGGATTTAATTTATACGGATGAACTTAATTCTATGTCAATATAACAATTCAAAATGTAATATCTGATGATCAAAATATATAGCTTCGTTATGTTTAAATGGTAAACATTTCGTAATGTGATATTTGAGATATTCACTCATATTGTAGCCTTCTGGGTTGAAACATCCTGTAGACTGTAGTTGGTAACCAATTGGAGGCTCAGTGTTCCTCCAAAAGGTTGGTTATCACCTAGCACGCTACATGATCTCATAATCCAGGAGACCGCAATATGAATTTCTACATGTAAAGTAAACCTGGCTGCAGAATTTTGTTCCACACGTGAATTGTTTTCCTTGTATTTATTTCTATATTCAGCAGGGCTTCATGGAAAATGTTTCGACACTTGTAGACCTGAATAGGGACTAGGCTTTATTTTAAGTCACGTGCTAAGATTTGTACCTTGATCAATTTTCAAGGAATTTCATAATTTTCGGTTTTGGTTTCTTGTAAAATAACTTGTACAATTAACCACTTCATTAAATTTTTTTGAAAAACTTCAGTGCACATTTCTAATTAAAACTTACATCATAGTCTGTTAGGGTTTCGGATATGAAGCTTCATGAGGTAGAACTAAGCTTCATAATTATGCATTAATTTCATGCAGTTTTTCAGTGAAGTGAAAACTGGAGTAACTAACTCACTACCTATCTTCATGGAGCTGGGTTTTCTTGAGAAGCCATCAACTGTGCAGCTACTCAAGAATTTCCCAGAATTGTATGGAACCTGGAGGTTCTTTATCGTCTTCACAAAAGCCCTGCATTGTTCCGTATCCTGGGCCAAAAAATATAATCCATACTGTCCTGTCTTTCTAAGATCCATTTTAATATTGCCCACCAATCTACCTCTTGTTCTTCTTAAGATATTTTTCCTTCTAGCTTTCCCAAAAATATCCTATATGCACGCCTCTCTCATTCATGCTACATGTCCTGCCCATCTCATCCTCCTTAATTTGATCATTCTAACTATATTTGGAGAAGAGCACAAGTTATGAAGCCCTCATCATGCAGTTTTCTTCAGCTTCGTGTCACTTCATCTCGCTTCGGTCCAAATGTTCTCCTTAGCGTCCTGTTCTCAAATAGCCTCATTCTATGTTCTTCCCTTAATGTCGAAGACCAAGCTTAAGACCCATACAAAAGTAGAAAAGGAGAAGCATACTAAATATATATTGAATTATATACTCATTACTCCGTGGTTCCTGGTTATCACAGTACACAGCAGGGCAGCGGGTGAACCCAGCCTGTAGAAAGAAGTTGCTGCAGTATGGATCAATAATAGCCGGAGTCTGCTAACAAAGAGTATGCAGGAGAAGTTGCATAGGAACAAGTGCAATTCTGTCGTACTTCAGATGAGCTCCTACACCAACTTCCTAAATAGCTTTCATTTCCGATAAAGTAGGCAAAATCTGAAGCGCACCCGAGGAAGAGCAAGATGAGAACAGTATTCCACATAAACTGAAGAGCTACAGGCGAGAGAGAACGAGACAGAACACAAAATATTTTCATTAAATTTGTATGATAAATATTAATAAAACATTTTTGTTATTTGTTCTTTTATACGAACAATACTTTTCGTAGCGACCAGGAAGGAAAACGAATAACGTAGTCTGGAATTTACAGAATATCTATGATAGAAATCTCTCTATAAATTAAATTTTGGCCATTTATATGGTCTTAATTATTAGTATGCCAAGTAAAGATATGGCTATGACGTCACTCTTCCTACATAACATAAACCTTCTTTGTTATCACAGTGTCTTGTGGCCTCTAAGTGCACGAGTGTTTTACCTAAAAGCAAAAGGTAAAGGTATCCCTGTAACAGGCCGTGAAGGCCCATAGGGTTGTGAGACGTTGAGGCTCTCATATTATCTAGAGAAGTGGCTCAGAGATGGCGATGAGGTTATCAGGCTTACGCGCCTGACGCTCTGTACTACCAAAAGATTGTTGGCATTCATTTCTGCTAGAGGCTCTGTCGACCCCAGGGCCATAATGCGGCTAGAAGGATAAGGTCAATTGAAAAATCCAGTGACTTCATCGGGAATCGAAACCGCAGACCTTCCAGTTTGTAACATAGTTCCTCAACCATCTACACTACCGCGTGCCCCGAGTGTTCTACCTATTAAATATTATCTAATATATACAATTCATGGAATCCGTCCGTCTCTCGCGTTACCGCCAATATGAATAACAGCTGCTAAGTGTATTCGTACATATAAAGGTTGTTTGTTATAGGAAGAAGCGCTTAGAATACTTAATAATTTTGCTGTTAGGTGCGAGTCCAGCTCGGTTTCTTTCCTCTTTCTTTCACCCATAAGGAAAATATTAATGTCACAGTAATGAGTACTATCATAAACACTAAGCAACTATTTAGTTTTGTACTAATTTAACATAAGTTCTTTTATTCCAACTAGCGAATCTATACAACTATATCTCTACAGCCCTTTGTCGGACCTTGACACTTTCTTGATCTGTACGCAATCGGTAGGACTTCTTAGACGGGGGATCAGCCCTTCGCAAGGCCACTACCTACACACAGACAGAATAAACGCACATAGACATTGATGCCTCAATGATACTCAAACTCGCTCTTACGGTGTTTGAGCGGGCGAAGAAATTTCATGCCTTAGCGTAGCCACTGTGTTCGGTCCAGCTAACGAATGACCAGATGAAATCAAGGTTAAACTAAAAATATTACCACAGTAATCCTGTTTGTTACAGGCCGACTCGAGAGGAAGACATTACTTACTATACGCAATTCAAATACAGCATAGACTGGAATAATTTAGACGAAATAATGAAGTGTAGAATGTGGTGTATTAAAGGCGACATGGTACGCTCATCAACATCTTTGCTATTCAGCAACAAATTGCGGGCAATGCGTCATTAAGTAAGGAAATGTTAGGAAGGGCTACATCTGTCATTAAGTCTATACGTTTCATTAATAAAATAACTATATGCTCGAAAGTTAACGATGTCAACCATATCAGCGGTGAAGTTCTTCAGTCTTGACGGACAAACTGTAAACAAAAAAAAAGTAGCCCCATTTTTTTATGCAGGTTTTCTACAAAGGTGTAATTCCCAGAGGAGTTTCGAGCCATATCTAACATATTCGTGTTTCTTTCCTAGTAGATTCTACTATATATATATATATAGGAATCACAAACGATCTCATTGTTTTGGTTGTGAATACACTTGACATTAACAGTAGGCATGTACGAGTTACCTCAAATATGGCCCTTTGAAATCAAGAGTAAACCGAAAATTTTAAAACAGTAATCCTATCTGTTACAGACTGCCTGATTCCAGAGAAAGCTCTTCCTTGTTCGAAACAAAAGACTGCCTTTTCGTTTGCGACCTCTTACCTAATTTAATTTCGTGCAAAGTCTTAGCGCTCGACAGTTGTCACTATGATAACAAAATATTGCGCAATTTCAGAACATTCACTAACCGTAAAAAGAAGTTTCTTTTGTACAGAGATATAGCTTCACCAAGAAAATTTCTGGAGCATTTTATTTTCTTCCGTAAAGATGGACGAGAGAGATTTTAACGAATGATATGGAAAAAATGTTAGAATGATTCAGGGGGCACAGAGATAATTATTCATTCTTACTAAGGAAACCAAACGTAACATAGCTTTCTGTATCTAATATACATTGCCTAACCGGTACCACAAAATAAGTGAACATAACATATTTTCATAGTAACGACGGTGACAAAATGGTATTCTTTGTTGGACACTAATTCCAGGTGACAGATGTGCGAATTTTTCTGCACTTGGATGATGATGTGGTTAAAAATATCGATGAGGATATTATTATACAATAACTGCCAAATAAATCGTAGAATATTCTTATATCATTTAACCTTATGCTTGTATAACGAGGATCAAAAGCAAACAAGTTTAAGATTTATGCAGTATTAGAAGCTTTTGATAATGTTCAAAAAATATATTTTATGTAAATAAAAAAAATAGATTCCAGATTCATGATGACACTAAGAGAAATTTAAATTCAGGATATGAATAGTATTCTCTTGCATTCCCTTTCTCTCTGTCTTTCCTTTATTCTCTATTTCTTTCCATATTTTTCTTCTTTCATGTGCTTCCTTCCGTTTATCTTTGTTCCTCCAATTTCTACGTTACTTAGAATGCTAAAGTCATGGTGTAATATTTTCTGATGTCACAAAATAAGAGTTTCAAATTTTGATGATGCAGCCACTATTTTCTCTTATGCCTTTTCTTTCTTATTTGATTGCAGAATGAGAAGAACCAGATCATGAAGTCAAACGTGTGGCTTCGTTTGGTGAGTAATTTTTTCTGTTTTAGACTCCATTGCTGCTTGTACAGTGAGCACAATTTCCTCTGCTGAACAAGTAATGATAAATCAAACGGACTATCGTGTAGAGCAACTCAAAGCATATTTAGTTTCAATTGCAGTTTTCAGTTAACTAATAACGTTTGTAAGAACAAGCATTTCGAAGATGCACTAAATTAAAGTACGATTTTACAACTAGATTTATTTTCAATATGTATGGCGTTAAATGGACCACGCGACACCCTCTATCTGCTAAAGTTGGAATTAACTTCGCCGACAAGCGGCGGTCGCTCGGTCGGTATAGTTCGCTTGCGGACTAAAACCACGGAGTTTTTTTTTGCCGTTAAATGGATCCGGGATAGCTCAGTCAGCATAGCGACGGCCTAAAGGTTGGACAGACGGATTTTGATTTCCGGCAAGGGAAAGAGATTTTCTCAACACCACAGAGTTCAGACCAGTTCTGGGGGCCATCCATTCTCCTATGTATTTGGTACCGTGAGATATTTCCCCTTAGTGGCCGGGAAGTGAAGCTGACAACTATATCCTTTTGCCTCTCCTAACTCTTCTAAGATGCTAAATCTCGTTTGATATTGAGACTATAATCATGAAGTAAAATCATATATATTTCCCAATGTATCGGTAGACATTTTACAAATTTTTTGCTGGTGTGAGTAGGGGGGTACTGACATAAACTAATCAGTAATATTAGAAGTTAAAGTTATGATCTTCTGAAGCACAATAGACCACTGTAGGTCGTGGTGCAAGGGCCGAGAAGAGCCACCTCTTATACATTCGTTATGGTCTTCTGGGTTTTAAATCCCTGCAGTCTTGTGGGCGGAAACTGAGGCTTCGGAGGAATATCCTGTTACTACCTTCGGGATGTGAGAGTGGTTATACGGGAATAGGAACCATGTTCCTTCAAAATGAAAATATGCAATCACAAAACTGTATGTTGTGTCAACCTAAGAGACCGAAATCTTAAAATAACCACCATGAATATCTCAGCACTTGCAGCAACAATGGAAATGTCTAATAGAGGGTGTCTCTCTAAAGTGAATTGACAATTTCTAGAATGATTCCATGTTGGTAATCATAAGTTTCGGGAATTTGACTGTTAGCTTCCCTTATCTGCTCGTCTGTCCACTGCCTGATTAAATATCTTGAGAACTGTTGAGCGGGTTTTCGTGAAACTGGATAATGACGATCCCCACTAAAATTTGTTAAAACATCGCAGTTTTGTTGGAGCTATGGTAGTTCAGTCAGTATAGCGACGGGTTACGGGCTGGACGGTCGGGGTTCAATTCCAGGCAGGAGAAATTTTTCTCTACTCTATAGATTCCAAACTGACTCTAGGGCCCACACAGCTTCCTACACACTGGGTACTGGAGTAAAGAAACAGGGGTGTGAACCCTGGCACTCAATTCCATCTAATTCCGAGATCAAGCATGATGGAGATAAACCTCTACTCCCCGATACGAATTCATGACGTGGTGCTTAATTAATTGATTAAGCACAGGGGAAACTGTTATTCTAGTTTTGGTTAAATTTGAACTACCTCGAAAGTAAATCCTTGCATGTTTATCTGAATAAAACGTTTCTAACAACGGTTGTAGAAAAAATATAAACGCTAAGTTCAGTGCGCTTTTATGTACATATAGCAGGTTTCGATGTAATTAAACATAATACGAAAGAAGGTCCCAATATTATCACGCTGCACAGCGTGTATTTCCGAACTTGTTTCACTATAGATGCTGACAATACAACATTCAAATCAGAAAATTCTTTGTAAATATTCAGTATTTCGTTGAAATTTTCTTAGTTCGAAATATACGTAATGTATTTAGAGCGCCTTAAACTTAACTCACTGTGACGTCACGAATGTTGCAGAGCGTAGGAGATCAATAAGAGACAAGTTATCCAATATTGCACGTATTTGTACCCGATCTTCAGTACTGCAAGTGTGGTTTGTGTTCCCTGCTCACGATTCAAAGACAGGAAACTCAGGGCGTCCAGGCTCCAATATTAGGTTTGTTTGTCCTTCCTCTTTCGCTTCTGCAAGGTCACTTCTTTGTCGTAAGATGTGTATGATAACTGATTTCTCTTGACATGTGTATTGTCGCTGAAGGAATGGTGAAATATATCATATCTTTGTTATTATAAACAAATTCATTATGAAGAGAAGGACAAAAGAAATATCTGAGGAATTTAAGACTCCAACTTTTCTTAAGTACATAGCGACCATAAGGGAAATATTAATAATTCCGAAATTCAGTGACCAATATCTATATATAACTTTTACTGTAGCCGATATGAATCCTATTCCAGATTTAACCTCACATTTTCTGTCATCTTTATAAGTGATAGTATTGCAAATTCATTGTTTCCATGCTTACTTACTTACTCAGGGAATTGAGCTCTTCTTAAGGATCCGCCAATTCTGCAGTTAGTCAAGAATTTCCCAGCATTTTATGGAACTCGAAAGTTCATTACCGTGTTCACTAGAGCCCTCCACTAGTCGCTATCCTGAGCCCTATCTCTCTAAGATCACTTTAATATTGTCCACCCACCTATGCCTTTGTCTTCCCAGTAGTCTCTTTCCTTCTGGCTTTCTCACCAATATCCTATATGCATTCCTCTTCTCCATTCGTGCTACATGCCCTGCCCACCTCATCCTCCTTGACTTGATCGTTCTAATTATAAATTCATTGTATTATACTAAATTTACAGGCATGTTACAGATATATTTCTGTAAAAGTCTCGAATGATACGCCTGCTATTCGTGATCAAAGCCAAAACTAAATAAAGGTATTATGTAACTTTTCAAATATTATTTTGGACCAGCATTGCATAACGCATTAACTTCTGTAGAAGCTGTGTTTTTAGACATATATTACAGCATAAAATGTTAGGACGTTACGTCAAATATCGCTAGGTGCTACGTCATAACCTTCCCCAATTTTACACAGTGTCACAACGCACAAAATCACAAATTTAATAATCCTATAAAAGGGTGATCAGGTATGCATTAGGCATATGCAGCCTGCAATTAGAAAGTCAATAAAAATGGCACGCCAAATCTCCAGTCACCAAGTTCAGTCGGTTAATGACGTGTAGAGAAGAAATCACTGTTTATTTTGAGAACTAAGGAACCATGCAATTAATATATGCAGAGAAAATTCTGATTATTTAATGTTAAAGTAGGTGATACAAATACCACCGCGCTACATGAAGTTAGTGCAACCTGAAGGTTCATTATTGAGTTAACAAGAACCCCAGCCTCATTTGACCAATCATAGGCTACAGAAATTCAGTCCACAATTTAATGCCATATGCTTTGAGATTTATTTTAATATTTTTCTCTCAGATAAGCCTTTGTCTTCCAAGTAGTAACTTCTTTTCAGGTTCTAGGACTAAAATTGCATGTGCTAGTGCGTGCTACAATCCCGGTCATTTTATGCTCTATGATTATATCATCCTAATTGTATTCAGTGAAGAATAAATTTAACAAGCTTCTTGTTAACTTCATTTGTACGTTCCGTGTTTCCTTGCTGAAGCCCATGTAGTACAGAGCTCGCGGTGTCAATCGCGAGGACCCATTATCAGCGGAAACATAAAGAGAGCCATTTCAGCTAATCCGATTGTACGGTCGTCACCAACCTGTTAATTTCGGACACACAAATCTCTCTGCAAATTATATTCGGAAAAAGTGAAGTCGTGGTTTTCATGTGGGAAGAGATACTGCTGCTTCCACAGGAAGCTGTGTGACACCAATGGTTTAGAAACCGGAAGCAGAACTACTGGTACAGCCTTTTGAGTCTAATGGGCGTCCATCGGTACACACGTATGCGTCGCGGGACACATCTCCTCACCTAATTTCCTTCTCCATGCGAAGAAAAAAGAGCTTTTTTTTAGATAACATTGATCTCCTTATGTGTGTCTATGTGTTCCCTGTTCAACTTTTGTATTAAAAAAAGGTAAAGCTATCCTGTAACAGACCATGGAGGCCCATAGGATTGTGAGATGTTGAGGCTCCCACATTTTTCTAGAGTATCGGCTCATAGATGGCCGTGAGGTTGTCAGGCTTACTTGCCGGCCGCCCTTTATCCCCAGGAATATTCCTGGTACTCGTTTCTGCTAGAGGCTGAGTCGACCCCAGTGCCATAGTGCGGCTGGAAGCATTAGGTAAATTGAAAAATATATATATACCTCATCGGGAGTCGATCCCGCAACCTTCCGGCTTGTAGCATAGTGTCTCAACCAACTACGCTACCGCTTGCCCCCATGTATGTATGTATATACATATACATAATTATATCAGTATAAATACGTATATACAAACCTATATAGAAAAACGTAACACATTAAGTTCTGGGAAAATATAATCGCCTGCTTCCCTTTTATATAAGATGGACCTCAAAGAAAACGACGAGCCCCATAATTATCCTATTGTTGCTTGTGTACTTGTTGCTGTTATAACGTTGCCTAGCAACGACAGAGAGATGAGCAAACAGACACACATACTGATGAAAGGAATTTACTAGGTACACCGTTGAGATGGGCTAATGTGCCATGATATACTTACGAAGTTCCTTACAGATTGGTTCAGGAATTCAAAAGTTGTTAGCAGGGGATACACAGACACACAGGCTGCAAGGTGATCTAGTGCGTCTGCTTCTATTTTTTCCAAATAAGAAAAGCAGGCCAAAAATCGAAAGTGGTGCGGCATATTAATGAAAGAAATCTTATTGTACGTGTAGGTCGCACTGTAGGCAGGATTTTGCAAATTTAAACTGATAGCACGTATAACAAACACAAGGATTCGCTCCAGATGACGTGTTCGATAAACCTGTTCGGCCAACCAGGCATGGGAATTTCTACCATACATGATTTACCATTTTTAGCAAGGAAATTAGCAACTTGTAGGAGATGTCTTTGGGATCTGATAGGCTCACCGTATGTTTCATTACGATTGATATTCGCGGGTGCAC